ACCAAAGGTGACAATTTCCCCTATATGATAGTTACTAACTTCAAATCGATATATCTCGATTCCTAGACGTGACCCAGCGAAACGCCGGGCCACGTATAACTTGTTTTTGACCGATATAACATTTCCCGTTGGTTTCATCCCATCCCGATTTTGACTGTGGCATAGTGTAATTATTAAAACCTATACAGTCAGCAAAAAATATATTAAAAATCAACGGGATTTTTCAGCCGCTGAAAACTGGCACTTAATTGTACTAAAATTTAACAGGCNACATTTCCCGTTGGTTTCATCCCATCCCGATTTTGATTGTCGCATAGTGTAATTATTAAAACCTATAGTCAGCAAAAAATATATTAAAAATCAACGGGATTTTTCAGCCGCTTAAAACTGGCACTTAATTGTACTAAAATTTAACAGGCTATAAAGCTGCATACCCAAAAATTTGCTAAAAGTTCAGATTAGAAAATTCAAAATTTTGATGAAATTTTTTTGAATTTTTCTAAGCCATGTATGTATAATTGAAAGTTTGGTTTTTATGGTTTTGGTTAAAGCATGAACCATGTTTTTATAAAAAAAAATAATAATAATTAGAATCCTTGCAAATATTTAACAAACATCACCAATGGACTCAGTTTTGCACTATAGTGTATATTACTTTTATCGATATTTTTTGGATAAACATAATTATTTCTGCTTTTGATGCCTATCTCCATAATCGCTACTATCAACGATATAAGCATACATGTCTTTATCGTAAAATGACGGAACATTTAGTTGCAAACAACGCTGACATGTGAAATTCTGGAAACTGCTTCGATAATTACATTTTGGCATTATCACTGGTTCCACTGTAAAAATTGTTTTCACGTTCTCTTACGTCTGGTAACGCCACTTACCACCCAAAACAAAAGCAGCAAAATTGAAGAAAAATCCTTTGCCTATTTAAATACTATCTCACTCACACACATCTCGCATACATCCCCGTTTGTCAACGGCAGATCCTGTTGCTCAACTTACAACAAAACTTTGCGCACACATTCTCTTTCGCACGACGACATGATAGGAAGNGCTACTATCAACGATATAAGCATACATGTCTTTATCGTAAAATGACGGAATATTTAGTTGCAAACAACGCTGACATGTGAAATTCTGGAAACTGCTTCGATAATTACATTTTGGCATTATCACTTTGGTTCCACTGTAAAAATTGTTTTCACGTTCTCTTACGTCTGGTAACGCCACTTACCATCCAAAACAAAAGCAACAGAATTGAAGAAAAATCCTTTGCCTATTTAAATACTATCTCACTCACACACATCTCGCATACATCCCCGTTTGTCAACTGCAGGTCCTGTTGCTCAACTTACAACAAAACTTTGCGCACATGATTCATTGAATCATGCTTTGCGCACACATTCTCTTTCGCACGACGACATGAAAGGAAANACAAAAGCAGCAAAATTGAAGAAAAATCCTTTGCCTATTTAAATACTATCTCACTCACACACATCTCGCATACATCCCCGTTTGTCAACGGCAGATCCTGTTGCTCAACTTACAACAAAACTTTGCGCACACATTCTCTTTCGCACGACGACATGATAGGAAGATATTCTGAAATTCCGCTACTATCGTTGTTGCTGCAAATCTAACTAGAATCACACGCCAGCCATCACACGCGACACATTCTAATTTACCCCCTTTTGCAACACCAGTTTTTCTATTGAAACACCATTCTGCACTACTCTTCGCATACAGAAATTCAGTTTCGTATCGGATTCCTTCAGCTTTCAGTGTGTCGTTGAAATTCTCTCTCGGTTCGCTTGCGAAAAAACATTAAACTCAAGTTTTGCTTAATTCNCACGCGACACATTCTAATTTACCCCCTTTTGCAACACCAGTTTTTCTATTAAAGCACCATTCTGCACTACTCTTCGCATACAGAAATTCAGTTTCGTATCGGATTCCTTCAGCTTTCGGTGTGTCGTTGAAATTCTCTCTCGGTTCGCTTGCGAAAAAACATTAAACTCAAGTTTTGCTTAATTTACGTATGTGACAAAAAGTCACTTTTCTCCAATTCATAAGCAAGAAGTGTTTAACATCAAACTGCTAAGCTGCTATCGCGAAATATTGCTCCCATAAAATAGATGACAATAGAAATTGGTGTTTGGCATTGAAAGAAAGAAGGCAGTGGGTTTGGTTGGCTAGTTGGGGGAAAAGGTATTGCTTGGTTTTAATTGTGGGGCGATAGCAGGACAGGGTTGTGTGTGACAAGTTCATTTGAGCGTCAGTGCAGAAAATCAATTTGCATAAAATTGGAAGTGTTTCCCGCCGCGCGTGAGTGAAGGAAAAAGCTGCGAAATAAAATACGNTGACAATAGAAATTGGTGTTTGGCATTGAAAGAAAGAAGGCAGTGGGTTTTGTTGGCTAGTTGGGGGAAAAGGTTGGTTTTAATTGTGGGGCGATAGCAGGACAGGGTTGTGTGTGACAAGTTCATTTGAGCGTCAGTGCAGAAAATCAATTTGCATAAAATTGGAAGTGTTTCCCGCCGCGCGTGTGAGTGAAGGAAAAAGCTGCGAAATAAAATACGTGAAAAGAGTGGACAATAACAACAACAGCATTGCAGCGGTTGTTTTTTGTATTTGTCCATTGCAAAGTCTCCGTCTTGCACAGAGTTGCACCCAAATATGGATTGCCGACTGTGAAGTGGTTTCATGATTCTTGGTGTTGCCATCTTCAATAAAGGTGAGTGATTGTTTTTTCTTTAAACATTTCTCTTGGCATAATATTGTTACGATTATCCTTGAACACTTCTTTCATTTCCCAAAATCCTTTGAGTTCGTATCGCTGGATTGTTAAAATAACGCTCAAGATGACCAATTTATACAGTACAATAAACTTTCTTGCACAACAAACATTTTACAATCTCCTGTAAAGGGGAGAAATATATAATGTACCAAGCGCCATATAAAAAGAAATTGCGTTACGAGCTAGAAAGAGCAAAGACCAAGGAATCCATGACAGAATCTGCGCAAAAATCCTAAGATATCACCTCGACGCCATCCTATGCACAATTCCTAGCGCGGCCGAAGGCCCCCAATGCGGAACGGTGTTCTGCCCAAAAATACTGTGGTCCGCGTAGTCTGAGTTGGACCGATGAGGGTAATATTTGGTCGGCGTAAAAAATTCCTATTTATTTCACTTTAAATATTTATGGCTTTTGTAAGCAAAATCAACAATTTTTTGAGCTATTTTCAAAAAGCTTGCTTGAGGAGCCCTGGAGTTGTTCCCCACAACAGTCGGGTCTACGTAACCGGAACGACCCAGATTTATATCTGGCAAGGACTGTCACTCCAGCAACATTCCCCAAAAACTTTGGGGAACTGTATGCTGTTAGAACAACAACAGGAGGCGTGGAGTGGGAGGCTAAAGAGAATCATGTCATTGAATTCCTTAGTTTTGTTCCTTAAGCTAGAAAGTTCAGCAGTGCCATGCCGCCTTCCTTTTATATACCAACTTCGAACTAACGGTTACTATTCGGAACATATCCCGCGATGACATCTCTTAAGTAAAAGTAAACAAAACCGAATAAGAGGGTAAAGACTGTAAATTTCTTAATATTCAATTTTTGGATAGGAAACATGGTTTAGTTTTAAAAATATATGATTTGTATAAAGAATTTATAACAAAAAAATCAAAGCGAAAACCACGTGTTGTCGAAAGCCAATTCAAGGCATGAAATTAAATGGGTTTAACCAAGGCAGACGATAGTTTTAAACTTTTAGAACTTCGGTTTTCTCTTACTGAACAGCGAGAGAGTTGTTGTCCACGCGTTGAGTTACGGTTCTTTGAAGAAGGCTTTACTAGCCGAGGCAAGAAATTTACATAATGCTATCGCAGCGGCGGTGGAAGTAGAAGGACAGGCTACCGCTAAGCAGGCAAATATCGCGGGTGGAGTGGGTTGACTTTATTATAGATGGAATTGACAGCTGTGTTAAACCCACATTTACTGATGAATTCACGGAGTATCGACGAACTGAAGATAATTATAAAACGCCGGTGCCGCTTAAGCGTGTTGCGCAACAATGGTTCGCAGTAAAGGCATGCCAAGCCCAACTGCCCATTCCCACATAGACCAAACAGGTCATTCTTACGGTGCTGCAAAATAGGCCATAATTACCCGACGTGCCCTAACCTCAAACCTGTACTTATAAACCTATTTTTAATCTTAGTTACTTGCCAATGTTCCCAGTTGTTGAAATGCGTTCGACGCTTTTTAGATCTGTCCCGAAAGTGTCCGGCCATCTCCATTTTATTTTTATAAGGGTTGCCAACAAACAAGCTACTATACTTTACCGTTGCAGCGTTGTAACTGATTTTTTTTTTTTTGGCAACGGTTGCTCCCAACTCCTGCGCCCTCTGAGCCTACCCATTATTTAAGCTTAAGCTTACATTAGGCTTACAATAGGTAAATTCTAACTTTATGCAAGCCTACTCATTCCGATTTACTTTCCTAAAAAAAAAAAAATCGTATATTTATTGATAAATATCAAGTTAAGGATTACCACGTTTCCGTACAAGTAGTTGTTAATTTTTAAAATATTAGGCTTGATGACNGGATTACCACGTTTCCGTACAAGTAGTTGTTAATTTTATAAGTTCTGTAATATCTTTTTCAGTTCTTCAAACCAAACGATTGTTCTTGAAATAATGTGCTTTTATTGAAAAAAAAAATGAATTGAAACATTTTGAAATAGAATAAAATTATAATCGATCGAGCCAATATATTATTTTTTTAGATTTTCTATTTCAAATATTGCTTTAAGCAAGCTAAACCACAAAAGATTTAAGGACATGGAATTCATTTGTCATGTTTATTTGCAAGTAGTCTCATCTGGCAACGCCAACTTACGTGGAGAAGCATGTCAACAAAGTAACTGACTTTTGCCGCTGTCAAATTAAAAAGAAATAATTTGTCTACCATCCCTGTCCCACATTAAGAAATCAACAGCATTGTATACCCATTTCAGTTGTGANGAGAAGCATGTCAACAAAGTAACTGACTTTTGCCGCTGTCAAATTAAAAATAAATAATTTGTCTACCATCCCTGTCCCACATTAAGAAATCAACAGCATTGTATACCCATTTCAGTTGTGAGTGAAGTATGCAAGAAAAGCAAAAACTAGCGTAGCAACAACCACTGTCACAACCGAAATATCAACGACTATCGAATCGTCTTTCTTGCACGAAGCACGCAACACACGAACGAAACGAAACGAATTCATCGCACTACACAGCAACGGCTAACGGCGGCCATTGTGATTTGCCGACGACAGAAGAAGACAAAAGGACGTACGCACTGGTCAAAAAGGAAATTCAAGCCGTATTGTAATAAAATTTCAACAAGAAAAATCTAGTTATTTCGTTTTCTTGTTGTGGTAATGTTTTTGTAACGGTTTATAATGCATTAATTGTTTGTGATTGCAATATTTATGAACTTGTTAACGGCATGGAAAGTGTGTCTACTAAGTTTTGAAGAAATTTAGGGAAGGGCAAGTACGGGTGGCAAGTAAAAGTCGTCGTCGTTCCATGCAAAAGCCATTGGTGACGTGAAATCGTGTACATATTTGGGTGAATTCGACAAGAAAAAAATTCGGAGTATTGCTCAATAAGTGTCCAACGAGTGCAGCAGGTAAGTTAATTGCTTATGGCATTTACTAAATATACCACTGGAAAATGCAATAAAAGGTGCTAGCAATTGAGTGGGTGCGTTGTGAAAATGTGAAACAATTATCCAATTTAGTCAATTATGCTGGTGTCGTCCAATTTAGTGATAGTGCATTGATTATAAAAATAGCTAAATTGGTAGATTTTTTTTTGCTTGTGTCAGAAAAGATGCCAGCGTTGTTGTTTTGCAGCGTATTTTTCATCTCATTCCCACGTACCGCTATTTAATTGGCGAATATTGTTGCCAACTCTTTCTAACGTGTTTGTAGCGACCAGCACAGTTGTCGCGAGGCTAGCTTAATATGCGTTTGCAGTACTGTAATGCGTGCCTGCTCATGGCCTGAGCGGAGGAATATTTTTGTTTGTGTTCAAAATGTATTGGGTTTTATCTCTTTTGTTTTTGTATACGTTTTCAAGTACGAAAAGTAAAAAGTAGTTGTTGGACTAGATTAGAGTTGCATTTGCTTGGTTTAAAAAATCTGTGAGAAATGTTGCAAATCAATGCAATTAAATAATTTTAAAATAATTCTTCCATTGGTAACGAGCCAAATGTAAACTGGATTTTAAAACAAACGATCTGTTTAGTTTTTGCAACAAATGTTGCTAATGCCCTGCAACATGTTGATAACTTCAATATGTTTACTTCGGTGGTGATTTTTAACTACTACTGATTACATTTTCACACTCATTTAATTTGTTGGCTGATAAGCAAAATTTGCTGTTATTTATGTGCATTCATACATGCATATGCAGGTTTTTATTTGTATACACAAATGCAATTAAATTATAGTTTTTTCAAACAGCTAGAAAGCTTCTGCCTATTATTATTCCTTGCGTTAAACTTGCAATTACAAATTACAGTTTGTTTGTTGAGTTTGGACTTTTACACTTGTCGAACTCGCCGATTCAATTAACAACAAAATGTATCGCCCAGAAACTTTACCTATCAACAGAACAGATTCTGAAATTTATTCCTGATAAANACTTTTACACTTGTCGAACTCGCCGATTCAATTAACAACAAAATGTATCGTCCAGAAACTTTACCTATCAACAGAACAGATTTGAAATTTATTCCTGATAAGCTTTTTGCCACTATCACCTTGATCGTTGCATTTTCCACTTTCGGTATGTAGAAAATTAATAAGTGTGTAATCTTTGTTTATTCCAGCCTCCGCACCTAAACACTTGCCAAGCCTTATCAGCTCGCGCACATTAGTACGCACAAATCACAATGGAACGAAAAAAGGTGCTTGAGCTGGACAAGATCTGTCGCGTGTGTATAGCAGAGCGTAAGGACATGCGTCCATTATTTAGCGAAAAGATCGCCGAGATGTTAATGGAATGTGCCACAGTTAACATTGAAAATACCGAAGGTTGGCCGGATAAAATTTGCATTCAATGCGTCCATGCTGTATCACGTTGTCATGCATTCAAAAAGCAGGTTGAACGCAGCGACAAGGAGTTGAGGGAGTATATCAAAAGCTTAACGGTGCGTGTGGTTATAGAAGAACCGAATGAAGTAAAGATCGACCAGTCAGCGCAGACGAAAATTTTGTCACAGAAACCACCCAAACTACAGTTGATACAGCCACAAGCTCAATTTCAGTTGCAGACACAACATAATCATATGCAGTTACAACAGCAACAACAACAACAGCTCATTTTGCAACAACAGCAGCAGCAGCAGCAGCAGCAGCAAAATCAACAACCACAACAGATGCAGCAAGTACAGCATTTGCCGTTGCAACAACAGCAACCTGCCAAACGTAAGACCACTAGCGCGTCACGCAAAACACAGCGTCAATCAAAGAAACCGCATTTATTGCCGCAACCTATGCAGCAACAACAGCATCAACAAACTCTCGAACAAGTGTCATTACAAACAATGGTGCCAAATGCTACACCTTCGCGCACACAAGCGCAACCAGCAACACAACATCTGCAAGCAACATTACAAACGCAGCCACAACCACAGCAGCTAATTTCCACAACCGCCTTGCCACAGCAAATTGTGCTACCAAACGGACAAATAATTACCACCGCGCAGATTGTCACCCACGCCGGACCGCCACAGATTGCACAGATTATTAGCACTGCGAACGGTTCGGCCGTGCAGACAAATCCACCCACCAGCACTGTGACGACACAGCCCCAATTTACGCCGCAGCTTATACAAACGACCAGCGGGCAGACGTTACAGCTGATACAGCAGCCAAATGGTCAGCAAACATTGCAATTGGTGCAAGTTATGCCACAACGCACTATTGCCACAACAAATGGTGGCAGCGTAATGGTTACCACAGCCGAAGATGGCACTACGACTATTGTCGATGATGACACTTTAATCACGCCCGACGATCATCACCTTATCGAAGCAGACGAAGGCGATCTCGAGGAAGAGGATGAACAAATCTGTGAGACCATAGTTGTAGAGGATGATCAGCTAACCCATCAGCAGTTGCTTAGCGGACATCATAATATCGTGGACGAAGATGATTTGTCACAAGGTGAAACACAAGAACTCGAGTACCTTGAAGATATAACTGTGACCACCTCGAATGCAGGACATTCGCATCATCAGCAACATCACACACAGCATTATCAACAGTTAAGCGACTGCGATGGTGATGCTAGTCAGCAGCATCATATGCAGTTGCATGATGAAGATGACATCATCGAAGAGATACACATGGAAGAGGAGGAGATGCTCGAGGATGACGGCGCTGACGTGATGCATGTGATGGAGGCGGATGGTAACGAATTTATAAGTGACGAAGATGGCAGTCAGCAGCAATTGGTTGGCGAAAACGGTGATCCGCTGCAGTACACCGTTATGGAGGTACCAGACGATGAGCTTGTTGAAACGGATGTGAAAGAAGTCATGCAAGCAGCTTGTGGTCCTGACATGCACACTGTCGTCGATTTCAATCATACAGTGAGTAGTGTAGGAAGCGGTGGAGATGGTGGCGCTGGCAGTGGTGCCTCTGTAGGCAGTCAAACACCTACATCCAAGCGTCAGCGTAAAGCAAATTCCAAAGCGGTGGCAAATTCGCGCCAGCTTGTTGCTACGGCCTCCTCTATAGCGACTTCGGGGTCCGCGGACGATGTCGAGATCGATCCCAAATTAATAGCCGAATTTATAAGTCAGCAAACCAGTGTACTCGGTTCCGGCCGTCATGTGTGCAATTTGTGTCGCCATGAATTCAAACAATTCAAGGCGTTGCATAATCATATGCATCAACATTCGAATTGGATACGCGCAAACTGTAAGAAGCAGCCGCAATGTGAGATCTGTTACAAGAGTTTCAAAGGACCAGGTATGCTTAAGATGCACATGAAGACCCATCAGTCAGCGGCGCGCACGCCGACCTGCAATATCTGTCTCAAAAGCTTCAAATCAAAAGCGATACTCTATCGCCATCGGCAGACACATCAACTGCGCTCTTACGCCTGTGCCGTGGACAATTGTCGCAAAACATTCTCTATGCCACAAACACTGCGAACGCACAGCGACAACAAGCACGCTAACGCAGATCAGCCGAGGTTCAAATGTGGCGAGTGTAACATACATTTTGACGACGTGGATGTGTTGCACTCGCACGTGCAATCGGGGGTGCATGGTGGCACGATTACAATAGATGGCGGCGGAGGCAGCGATGGTGCAGGGGGCTCGGCTGGCGGCAGTTTAGATGGGTCAGGTTGCATGGATGGCAGTATGTCGGGCAATACGATAATTGTTGTTACGCAGGGTTAATTCCACTGATGCTAAGCACTACTTGCACCATTTTTGTAAATTAATTTAACTTCCTCCTATCGCAAAAAAAATGCTTTCCCATTGTGCTAGATTAAGTGTTTGATTTGTTCAAAACAAAACTAGAAAACAAAATTAGATTTAACTAACATAGGATTATTTTTCATAGCGACTACTACATTTACCAACTACATACAAACTTATGTATTAAATAAAACACACAAAAAAAATGAAGAAAGAAGTTACACGCATATTTTTAAAGTATACAAAATTTACAGTACACAATATTATTCATATGACAAAAAAAATGCGAAAACTTTAGTAATAAAACGAATCTTAAAAAAAATTTCAAATGCATGAGTTTTGCGCTGGNAAAGTATACAAAATTTACAGTACACAATATTATTCATATGACAAAAAAAAAATGCGAAAACTTTAGTAATAAAACGAATCTTAAAAAAAATTTCAAATGCATGAGTTTTGCGCTGAAAGGTATGTTTCACTTTTGCTTATAGTACAAAATAGCTCGGATTATTGCACAAGAAAACTATAAGTGCGGTTCAGGGGGACGTATTCGGGATGTAGCGTTATGCATCTGTAAAAATAAACAAGAGATCCTACAAAATTAAAACCTTTATTAATGTCTTCGTATATATTTTCGACCTCATAAAATTAACTCAGTTCACACTGAATATTTTCCGCATGTTTACGTGCAATAGTCGTTCTTCACTTAACATGTTTTTTCTTTCACAAGAAAGCAGCATATACATATGTACATACATATGTATATTTATATAAAATGCTGACTTATGTATGCACGCCAAAAAAAATCCTGAATATGTCAAATAAAGCAAAAGAAATGGGTGTTTTAATTAATATAAAGATAATGAACGGGGACATTTTTCCACGGCCTCTTTCTTTTTTGACCCGTTTAATTGGCACTTAATGTTGACAATGCGGGCAGCAATGGAGGAAAGATTTGGTAATTCCGTTTACAATAGTAAAAAATCAAACAAATATCGTTAAAAAAAACACTTCGAAATTGTTTCCGAAATCTATTGGGGATTTTATGGGGAACGCTTGAAGTGTGGAATTGTGTAGATTTTGTTAAACTCCTGTGCCATACTACAATGACTCACATAATAAGCTTTATTCAGCAAGTATATATTGAAGTATGTAATTCCCAGGTACAGACAATTTTTTTGCCTGCCTATTTGATCAAAGCAAAAAAACCAAAAGTTGGGTCACATTTCATTTACTTCAAAAAAACATTAGTACAATAAAACTTATGCCGAATTTCCACTAGGCATTGAAATGGCAAAAAATGTATGCCATTTAAAAAATGCCATGTGGGAATGAACTTACTGAAAATATTTTTTAATATAATGACACCATTATTTTTAAATACTCGACTTTGTCATTTGTCAATTTTGCCATTTAATGCCTGGTGGAAATCCAACATTAGTATTTTTTAGTACAACAGGTTCATACATATTCACATGCGAAATATTCTTTCCTTCATCTTCTTGGCCGAGGTTTATGCCATCCGTTATTGTTCAGACGTACAGATTATTTTGCTTTGATTTTTTTGTGATATTTAGCATTTTTTTTGTTGTATTTTTTTCCCCTTAATTTTTACTAATTTACATATATATATACAAGTTTTTTTAAATTGCGCTTGTTATATTAAAAAACCCGAAAAAGTGGGCTCAAACAAATATTCTCACAAATTAACCCGATTTTTTAGCCGATGGAAAATTGCACTTCATTAGACTTAAATTGTATGGGCTATATAAATGCATACCCAAAAATTTTCTAAAAATTCAGGATATAAAGTTGAAGTTTTGATGAAAATTTGTTGAATTTTCGTAAATTTTGTATAAAGTTTTAAACTGTGATTTACACGGTTCTGTTAAAGCTTAGACGACATTTTTGTATAAAAATAACAAAAAAAAATCGCTCCAAAAACATTACGAATATTTGAAGAAAATTAACACGTGGTCATTTGTTTGAGTCACTGTAAGTATTCCCATGATTAACATTTTGTGCTCACAATCAGTAAAAATGTCATATCTACAATTTACACAATCGATTAATGATACTTAATTGTTTTTCAGCTAATTAACGGCTTTTCTTATTAATTGTATCTATATAAATATGTAATTATGTAGAATCACTTTTATTTAAACTACGCCATAAACCAGGTGGCGTTTTTTTTCACATGTGACAGCACATTTGGGATGGGAATCCCGGGTTTACACTCCAACAACTTATTCACTTGCTTTGCTTATTCCTTTGAAAATAATTTGCCAACAAAATAGTGAGAGATTCTTAACGAATTAAAAAAATTCGTATCGGATTGAACCCGAAATTTCGGAGCTAAGTTAAACATTTATTTTATTGCTTAGACTAATTTCTGCTTTGCTAGAAATCTCGTAACTCGTTCACATTTTTTTTTTTAATAGTTTTATGCATATTTATGTATTGGATTAATTTCAGTAATTTTCGTTCGGGATCAATTATGAAATGCAGGATTTTATTCGCAATATCTCGAAATTCAATGTTTTCTCAGGACCAATCTCTATATACATACATATGTATGTATGTTCGGAGTTAAGGCAGTCCCCTAATAGCATTTCACCGTCAATCGCTAATAGCATTATCTCGAAATGAAACGTTATTTTGCAAATCAGTTAAGTAAAAAGAAATTTACTGATAACCTTACATTTCCAGTGAACAATGATTAATCGAATAATCAGTAGATTTTAATTAAACGAAATTTACCGGCTCGCATAGACCTGTTGTTAAATATATGCTATGCGTATACATAAGGGTGGTCCAAAATTTTTTTCTTTTAAGAACTGAAAAATACATATATAAGAAAACCTCATAATTCCATTGTTGAGAGATTTCTGAAGGGAAATACCTTTTTTTCGAAAAAATATTTACTTTTTTAGGATTTATTCTGCGAAAAAAATTTTTTTTCATATAAAATATGTATGGACATGAAAAACTTCAGAGCACCGGCAGCACAGTTAAATATTAACCGATTCCAACATAAAAAAAAATACTGGTATTCTTATTTTCGATTTTCTATACCCAATTCTGGGGGTGGCAGCAAAAATATTCCGAAAAGTTTGACTTTCTTGTATATTTTTGGACCACACTAATATACGTACAGATACACGTGGATTTCACTAGAATGGTGGAGAAATACTTAGTGCAAAATGTATGAGATTATTGTTCCACGAACATTTTAAACAAATGCATACATGTATACACATGCATAATCTCGTTTAAAGCACAAAACCGCGTATCAAGGTAATGCAAAACCTCGTATGTGAGGCTGCCCAAATTTTATAGTAAATAAAGCGTGAAAACTATCTTATTTCAAAACGGTTATTTCTTTTATAAAGTAATCGCATTTCAGACTAGCTTTATATATAGTTATTTTGGTAGGAATGGCTAAAGCTTGATGTCAACAGCTTCCGGTGAACAAATATCATTTTTGGCACAAATGTCAGTTACGCGGTTTTGTACTTTAGACGACGATATGTACTTATCTCTTTATGTATGTCTGTTTACAGTTAGAAATTGCTTGTTTAAAACTGCAATGCTTGTTGTCTATTCTCTCTACTAAAGCAATTTCGACAAGAAATTGCAATCAATCACCCTCTTGATAAAAAAAGTAAATAGAAATACATATAAAACGTGGAAAAATTCTAAAGAAGACGATTGTGAATGTGAGGTATATTTAACAAAGCGTAGTTGTCAACTTTTGTTTGGCTTCACTGACGCGTGTTTACTGTAGAAGGTCACTGACTTCCTTCGCACCTTTCCTATCCATTAAAGCCCAACCGAACCGCTAAGGTGGATGGTCTATCTGGCAATTAGCTGTGCAGTGACTTGACTCAAACATTCATTTGACTAACTAAAATTGTTTGGGCTATAAAACTGCATGCCCAAAAATGTTCTTAGGATTAAGATTAAAATATTTTTATTAATTTTTTATCTGAATACTGAAAAATTTCCCACGGTAGATAATTTATTAAAATATAAAAGGAAACCCGAACGCAAATCTGTTCACTGTTTTCAGTGTTGTAGCAGCTTACTAAACTTTGTCAAAATCAGTGAATAGACTTAATTTTGTCTTCATGTAGTTTATCAGGGGTTTTCTGAATTTGAAAATAGGGAACTGTTTTCTTTTCAAAATGCAATTTCTCGAATAACTCGAAACTCGGTTTTCGAAAAAATGCGAATAATCGAACACCCTAGTTCATATGTACATATCTAAATCACAGATCCCTCATAAGAAATTAATCAATATCTTTCACACACAGGGTGTTCCAATTTAAATCGTCATTACGTTTTTAGGTTTAAATTAAGTGTACGAGCGTCTAATTTTACGGCGAGGCGCGTTTTGTTTTGCTAGATTCAGCGATATTGTATTAGTATTAAAATGTTAAAACGATTGGTTCGACGGGTTGCTCTTACCTAGTTGTTACTATGTGTTCTTAAAAATGTTCGATCCTTCAGGACATCAAAGAAATTAACCCGCTTAGATCTAAACTCATTCTTCGATCTGCGTACCATTTGTACGGGAATCATTATGCGAGACTCTGAACCTGGCTATCACATCATCAATGTTTCACTGCGTTGTTTGTAGTTATGGTGTTTAGAGAGCTTTATCAAATATTGCCGGGATTAAATTGGTTCCCCAAATCTTGCCTCAGACCTTTTGCTTGTTCGCCCGTACGTTTCTTCTTTTAACCTTTGGTCTGGCGTTCTCCTTTACTTGTGAGAACAATCGTCTCTAAGAGGCACAATGATATCCCGAGACCCAGCAAAGGTGCCCTTACGTTGCATCCCAAGTGTCACATTTTTTCGTGACAACTTTTTATTACATTACCACCACTCAAGAAGATTCAAGTTTGCAACGCTCTGTGTTCGCGTTTTTCTTTCCTTATTTGTATTTTTCACCACTGTCACGGCCGCTGAGGAATAGTTCATACACCAGCATTAGCATAATATGTATTTACCATTGCAGAATCAGGTATCTACACAGTTCAATGCATGTGCTTGACATTCACATTTAGTACATAACATTTGTAGTACTTCCACCTTACTGAAACGTATACGCTTTTGTGGATTCACTAATTATTTATTTTTATCCGACGGTTCTTTGACACTTGCTTGCTTGCTTGTAAGTTTTCGAGTGCGTAAACCGCATAGCAGTGCATTGCCCCCACAGGCTGTAAATTGATGCGTAAAACTAGGTGGACAATGACCAATGGTACTAGATATTTGTGGTGCGGTAAATGATAGG